CTCCTGCAGGCCACTCAGGCTTTTATCGGCTTTTATCTAGAACCCGAGTGGACATTAAAAAGAGATCTGGAGCTGGAAGGGCTCAACTTTTAAATCAGTTATATAAGAGTCTTGCAAATTCAGCAAGATCAGTCATAAGGCTCTGATACGAGAGACTGAGGCGGAATTTATAATATATATATTATTACCTGCATTTGGCCAACATGAGCAGAGAACAGGAGCAACGAGGCCAATAAAGAGATTTTCAGTTCTATTGTTAATAACATGATGATTTGATTGTTTAAATGAAGCCTTCTGCAGGATAAAAAATCCCAGATTTCCTCCTGAATATATAAACATTTCAAAGTAAGAAATGTTGGTTTTACTTCTCTGATCCAGTCACAAGCGATCAACATGCAGAGAAAGTAATCTCTCCATCTGACTTGATGCTGATTTGCAGTGACATCACAGAGACACAGGTGATCATAATCTGATTAGACGTCTGCACTTCTTCTCCAGCAGCTCCGTCCTCAGAGAGAATCCAGCTTTAAATTGGAGACACTTAGATTTAAACCGCAAGGGATGCTGATACTGTGGTGACCATGGATGTGAAAAACAATCTGTAATGTGGCGCCTGTGGTTCAGAAAGTACAGCCTTCTTCACTGTACATATAGGTCATCACTAGGGCTGCAAATTTGATTAATCTGTTGTTTATTTTTTCTACAAATCGATTAATAATCGGATTGCCAAGTGTTCCTACTAGAGCAGATTGGGTTTCTCTGCCAGCTAAGGCATTTTTTACTGTCTCTACACTCTAGTTAACGATTAATTAATTGATTCAGCCCGAGTCATCGCTGCAATAATCTGGTCTTTACCTGATTCAAAGCTGCCCAGAAGTGCAAAGAAACTGAACTGCTTCAGTTTTCTGTTTTTATTAAACCAAAATGTATTGCGAGTCACCAGATCCGTTACACTGGAAAAAATCGAAATCTAGCTAAGTCATTTTTTCTTAAAATAAATGCATTTATTCTTGGATTGAGGAGGTAAAATTCTGCCAATGGAACAAGGCAATTTTCATTTAAAATAAGAAAAAAAGAATAACATTGTCTTATTTCAAGTGCATATTACCTATATATCTTATTTTAAGAGTAAAAACACTTATTCATTGGCAAACTATCTCATTTTTCTGCTCAAATTAAGGGTAAAAACACTTAATTTAAGATATTTTTACTTATTTCTAGATGGTTTTTCCAGTGTAAGACAATGGTGTCAAACTGGTTCCAGAAAGGTCCGTGTTGTTGCTGGTTTTCGCTCCAGCCGAGCCAGTAGCACACCAGACTCCAGTCAATCATCAAGTCATCAGGTTAATACTGACTCACTTGATGGGATGACTGGAATCTGGTGAGCTGGTTGGAAAGAAAACCAGCAGCAGCCACACGGCCCTTTCTGGAACCAGTTCGACACCCTTCCTGGTTCCTGTGGATCTAACAAGCTTCATAAAGTATCAAAGACATCATAAAGTATCCAGATGAGACAGCCATCTTTGGCCTCATCACTTCCTGTGACATGGTTCACATGTTAGCTGTCTATGGAGAGGAAAAATTTTGTTTTCCATAGATAGGTAGTATCTCACTGTGGCCCTCCCTCTATGATGTCACTTTCTATCTAAAGGACTGAGGTGTCGGACTGAAGGTCAACAGTTTCCTGGTCCTAATACCACAGAGACCCTCAGTTGGCCAAAGAACGCTGAAGCTACAGTGAAAAAGATCTCAATGGAGTTTCATCAGGTTTTTGAGGAATACCAGGATTAGACCTAAGCCCCTAATCTGGTGGATATAAAGACATTCATTCAGACACAGAGCAATAATCAACCTCACACCACAAATCTAGATCTATAGAGCAGTTTACACTACCCTCTGAAAACNAGACACAGAGCAATAATCAACCTCACACCACAAATCTAGATCTATAGAGCAGTTTACACTACCCTCTGAAAACAAATCCGTGCCAAGCTCGGTTCCTGACGACCGTTTACACGCCACGCTAGCACGGTTCCTCGCCTCACAGTGACGATATACGGTACTACTGCTCTCTAGAGGGAAACAAGCAAACCAACATGGCCGCGCCCGTAACACTCAGGAAGTTTGAGAGTCAGGCCAAGAAGGCAGCCTTTGGTGAATTTACTTGAGAGAGTCGGCTACGACAAACAATCGTCTAATCAGGGCGTCCAGACGCAGGAAACAACGACAGACGTTGAGGTTCATCACACTGCTGAGTAGAATCATCACTGGAAACCGTGTGGCGCGGTAGGAAAGCTAGGATTTTAATAAATGTTTGAAATTCCCTGATTACGGAGGCTGACTGTAAGGAGATGACCTGGACTGCTTATGTCTCTATTACCCCATTTCCACTGCGCTTGAAAAACCGATCCATGCCGAGACCGGTCCGAGCTCGGATCAGTTAACCAGGCCGAGCTCGGTTCTGTCGACCGTTTACACATCACGCTATCTCGGTTCCTCGCCTCCTAGTGACGATCTGCGGTATTACTGCCAGCATTGAAGGAGGAAATCAAGCAGTTGGTGGCGGTAATGCACCAACAATTGTTTGCCAACCGCCATAAAACACAAGAAGAAGAAGAAGAAGGAGGGAATCAGGCAAATCAAAATGTTGCGTGGAGAAGATTTAGATAGTTGTTTATAGTTGTTCTTCTTCTTCTGTTTGTGTTGGTTGGCAAGCAACTTCCGGAGGGGCATTACCGCCACCTACTGGAATGGAGTGTGAATCGCGATGTGCAGCCAGACGGAGATGACGCGTTCTGCTCATGCGCTCTTGTTATCAGAGAACCGAGGCAGGGAAAAACTGAGCCGAGCCCACCTCTGGAACTGGTCTGCAGTTAGCTCGGTCCGGTTGGGTCTAGCTCGGTTCAGTTCAGTTTGCTTTCCTTTTACACACCATAAGTTATCTCAGTTACTGAGCTCGGACCGGTTTTTCAAGGGTAGAGTAAATGGGGTAATAGTTAACTGAGAACCGAGCCAGAACTGAACTACGCCAAGCCCTGCTAAGGAGCTAGCACCATGTTAACCCCGTTCAGTTGTGTCTGGTGCGGTTCGGTTCAGTTTTGCGTGACATTTACACTCAACGGTTGTCCCGGTTACCGTGCTCAGACCGATCTTGGCACGGTTTTAAAAGGGTAGTGTAAATGGGTCTAATGAAAACATCTCAGATTAAAAGACCTTCTCTCTATCTCCTGCAGTGCATTTATATTGTTCATTCCTATATTCCAAAAAGAAACTAAAAAACAATGATGTTTTGAGACGTTTCTCTTCCATCCAGGAAGCTTTTTCAATTCAAAGTGTCAGAAATAGCGTTTAGTTCCAGGTTTTATACAGTAGCCCAACAAAGACTTGTTTTAGTTTAGAAAACATGCAAATAGTTTTCTAACACCCATTTGGAATGGGGGTCTTTTGTCTTATTTGTTAGACTGCTATGTTTATCTGTTTATTTGCTACTGACTCCAGGACACACAGGAATTTCAATGTACCAGTTTATTTTCTTAATAAACTCTTGAGTAAATCTGTCCAGCAGCTGAAGCTCGGACACGATGGGGTCATTAAGAAAACAATCCTTCACAACAGAAGGCCAAAAAAAAGCATGGAAACAAGGTGCCACAACGGCCCAGTCAAAGCCCGGTGAATCCTTTTTCCATCCTTACAGGCACGTCTTCCAGCGCTCGTTGGCAATCGAGGCAGAGTGTAACAGAGTCTGCTGTATTCCTACGCCCTAAAACAGGAAACCAGCCTGTAACCGACACCTCGGCATGTATCCAGCAACCAGTGAAAAACGACCTCCGTCTTTATGAGAAAAGTTTTGGTTTCAGTTTAGAGGAACTTTGTTTATTTCTCAGTGTGGTATCAGGCTCATATATGATTGGTTGTGACTGGGTCATAAACTATTCAATCGTGTGTGTGTGTGTGTGTGTGGGATGGACGGGTGTTTTTTGTTGGGGGGTTGGGGCGGAGCTTTTGCTCCAATGTTTACAAACATTACTTATGTCAACAAATGGAAGAGCTTCGTATTCTAAGACTCGATCGTCTGGGGAGATTCTGGAACAGTGTGGGCAATTCCAGTTCCTGAGGGCCCCCATCCTGCAACTTTTAGATGTTTCCTTGGTCTAAAACACCTGAATCAAGTAAATAGATGATTAAGAAGACGGAGGAAACCCTAACCCAACCATTTGATTCAGGTGTGTTTGACCACGGAAACATCTAAAAGCTGCAGGAATGAGGCCCTCAATCTTAATAAGTCAATTTTTCTTAAAATAAGTGCATTTTTTGTTGAATTGAGGAGGTAAGTGAGACACTTTACCAATGGAACAAGACAATTTACACTTAAAATAAGAAAAAACAATGGCATTTTCTCATTTCAAGTGAATTTTATACAATTATCTTATTTTAAGAGTAAAAATACTCATTCCTCTTACTTACCTGCTCAAATTAAGGGTAAATACACTTAATTTAAGAAATCTTTACTTATTTCTAGATTGTTTTTGCAGTGCGGGAACTAGAATTGCCCACCCCTGGTCTGGAAAGTTGTTGAACTTTTGTTTTGTAAAGTATTGAATGTCCCTGATAACAAAACCTAACATTTTTGACATTTTTGAAGGTGTCGAGGATAAAAAATAAAGAATAATAAAGAAAACAAAGGGCTTTAATTTTTACCACCTTAGAATCAGATTTATTTGTTCTTTCAAACCACAAAAATAAATCTTTTGGCTTCTTTTCCATAAGGAGAGTATTTTTAAAGGTTAATATGATATAAAGACATTAAATATGCATCATCTCTATCTGGGTTCTGACTTTTAAGCTTTCGGTAAATAAAGTTAATTAGATAAAGTTAAAATGTCCAGGATGTGTGGGGTCTGCAGAGATCTTAGTTTCACTTTTCCGGACAAGTGATAAAAAAAAAAAAAAAACTTGATTTTCATTTTAATAAAAGACACTGGAAGCACTCATTTGTTAGCACAAATATAGAAATTTATTTTTAAAAAGGAAACACATAACTAACACTAAAGTGAGACTCCAAATGCCGCGGCGTAGACATTTCTTCAGACTGAGAAATAAAACACGACGACAGCTTCAGTGAAGAAACGTCTCCATTGCATTCATACATTCTGTACACATCGTCAACAATTGCACTTAAAAAACAACAAAAACAAAGAGCACATTCAGACTTGACATCATTTCTTTCTTTCTGCACGTACCCCGGAACCTCACACGTTTCCAAACTTCCTCCCTTTCGCGGCTAACCAATCACATTCATTGTCTTTCTTGTGTCAGATCACCTTAATAGCAGCTCAGTTCCTTTATCAACTCACCTCAGAATTACATCACTCAAACACATTTACCAGAGAAACTTGTGCAATTTACATGGAGGGAAAGAAAGGGCTGCATGACTCCATTTTTACAAAAAGCAACTCGATTCTGAATCACATAGGTTCTAAGTTTACACGGAGCTGAAGGTTTAGTGTGCTTTGCTTCATTAAAAATGAATCAGCTGTGTTTTGTGTAGCGGAGAAGCATCGTGTGGCCATGCACTCCCTAAGCTTTCCCTTCAATATGAAGGATTCATTTAGATTTAGTTTCCCTCAGCTTACAGCGTCACATTGAGAAGAGCATCTCAATCAGTGCATGTTTAACTATCCAGCCCTCAAAAAGGGGCCAACAGTCTCTAAATATCTTGTGCACCGTTAGTCTTTTATTTTAGTGGGCAGGCACAAAGAGAAGGCACATTAATATGCTACGATAGAGAACTACGTTTCAGTTGAATTTCCCTGCTGCTCCTCCAGCTTAATCATTCATCAGGCCCAGTGACCGGTTCCAGCGAAAAGCAGGTCAGCTGAGCTGCTTTTTGTCTGATTTGTGTACCTTTGCAGCTAAAAAAAAATCCGTCTGTTTGCTTCAGCGTACTTTGAGTCAGTCCAGCTCAGACCTGGAGCTGGCTTTGGACCGAATGCCCCGTCAGTGTCTGTTATCGGCTGCCAGTGTTGGCTCAGCAAATATCCTAAAGCTTTCACCAGTAAGGCACCGTGTTGTCGATCTGACCCCAGCTCTGCCAGCCAGGAAACAGTCCGCTGGACATGCGTGGGCTGCCGAACTGATCGAACTCCAGCTCCTGGAGCTTCCCGCCCCCCATTTTATGCTCTGAGGGCTTCTCATGAGGAACAGGGGTTCTGTGCACCTCCTCTCTGCTCCAGCCGACGTGTTTCAGAGGGTAGTTCTTGCCCTCGTTATTGTCCCAGAAGGTTTGGCCCTGGACCTTGAAGCAGATGCAGAACTCGACCCGGTTCTGTGGCAGGGTGCGTTCAGGGAGGTCCAGCTCAAAGGCAAAGGTGTCAGTGTCCTGGCAGCCGTAGACGTTGTTCAGGAAGGTGCAGTCGTAATCGGTGAAGGTGGCCCAGGAGTCGTAGGTGACGCGCACCTGCACCGACTTCTCGTAGCCCATGTTCCTGACTTTGATGGTGCCGGTCAGGGAGCGCTCCTGCAGCGAGCAGTTCTCCAAGGAGACACAGTTCCGAATCAGGCGGTTCCGGAAGTCCAGGTAGTCGGCTGAGGGCTGTTTGAAGTCGAGCGCCAGGCTTTGCGGCGAGCTGATCTTTAGATCCATGGTGGCGGTTCCAAGGTCAGTCATCTCAAACTGCAGCTCCTCTGTGATTCTATCAACCGGCTTATTCTGGTACCGCTCGTCGTCGAACTTGGAGAAGACGTGGATGGTGGTGAGAGACAGACCCTTTGTGTCGGCGAACACCACGCTCTTCTTGGTGGGCTTCTTTTTGGACCAGGCCACATGGCTGCTGTCGTCCGCCGCCTTGCGCTGGCTGCTGAGGCAGGGTCGCAGGGGTTGGTAGAGCTGCTGGTTGCAGCTGCGGTTGCTGGACTGGTTGACCCTGTTCTTGGCCCTCTGCAGGTCCCCATAGGAGCTGATAAAGCTTCGGAGAGGAGGCGGAGAGTGGCTGATGTAGAACCTCATGGCTACGTCTGTCATTACTGGGCCAGGCATTGCTGAAGGACTGAAAGATGTGAGCACACTGGGGAAGGGAGAAAACACGGTGAGAAACAGAACGAGATGATTAGACCGTGAAGGAGTGAACAAAGTCTTTAAACTTATTAAAGTTGAATATAAAAGGTTTAGAATGAATTTGAAACCAAAAAGAAAAGTTTTTGGTTTCTACAAAGTCATGCATCAAACTCGAAACTTTCAAACTAAATACCTTCATAAAGAAATAAACTAAATTATTTTACGGTTTCTTACCTTGCAGCACTCATGGAATACTAAAACAGGAACTAAACAAAACTCCAGTGGGAAAATGTTGAATCCCTTTTGCTGTTTGAAGTCTGCAGAGCAGCTTCTGAACTGGCAGGCTGCAGTCACTCCCCTTTCAGTGTCGGGCTTTGCTCAGCACTCTGGGCTTTCAACTGCCACAAGGAGACCATTTGCATAAGCAGTCATCTGGTTCCCTCCGCCAGCCAATTGAAAGACCAGAGGAATTCCTCAGCGGCCAATCCGCTGCGAGCTGACATGGCTGCAGGCCAGCTGATAGGGGGCGTGTCGCCTCATGGTTGAAATTCCTGGGCCTGTTGCCTCAGAGAAGCATGATGGACCCCTGCTGGCGCTGCTGCAGAGGTTTGTCTGCTGAGAGCCGCGTCTCTTCCTGCACACGACTAATAAAACCCATAATAATATTATTCATTTATAAATCATTACATCAAACCACCTAAGAGCAGCACAGCTATGTTAGGTGGTGCCATTCTCAATTCTCAAACAAAAAATAAAATAACCTGAATGGATAAAAAGGTGAAGATCTGTTTTTAGAGCAGCTGACCCCCCCCCCCCGCCTTCAGTGACGTGGCTTTTAATACCTGATGCATTATCCCTGATGAGCCCCTTTGAGCTGCCAGCCACACCTCTTTGCCTAACAAAGCCTCAATCTGCTCACATCTTCATCACCAGACGCTTGATTTGATGTGAAAACAAAGACACGAGTTTCACTTTAAGATGAAACTAAGGAGAAGAAGTTTCATCCCAGCTGTTTTGACTTTCACATCTTATCAGGGAAGGTTTATCCACCATGTTTGCCTCATTGATTTTTAAGCCGGGAGTTAAACATTACCTTCCTAACTGGCCGACTTTGCGGATTATTTTAACTTCTAGCAGAAAATGGGTGAAGGTCTTTTAGCTTTTCTTAGTTTTCGGGGAAGTGTTTGGATTCACTCCACGGTGGATCTTCAGAGGGTCATCCTCACCGCTTTGTTCGTCCTCTCACACTGAGGCTGAGAGGCTAACATGCTGCTGATAGGGGTCATCTTACGGCGCCGCTGGACACCGAGACTTTATCACTTCTACCAATCAATCCAGACTTTATTTATAGGGCAGTCAGGTGGAACAGCTCCTCACTGGTTACAAACAGGAGGATAAAAACACCAGAAGCAAAATCAATAAAACAGAAAAAAGGAGTAAAGGTTGATGAGAAAGACTTAACTATTACACTGCTAAAACGATCTAGAAATAAGTTAAAACTTACATTTAGTGTTTTTACCTTTAAAGGAAACGTTTAATCAGATTCCGAATTCAACACTGGAAAAAATCTAAATCTAGATAAGTCATTTTTTCTTGAATTATGGAGGTAAAATAAACATCTTGCCAATGGAACAAGACAATTTACATTTAAAATTAGAAAACACAGTTGAATTGTCTTATTACAAGTGCATATTATCTAAATATCTTATTTTGAGAGTAAAAATACTCATTCCATTGGCAAATTATCTCATTTACCTTCTCAAATTAAGGGTAAATACATTTAATTTAAGAAAGTTTTACGTAGTTCTAGATCGTTTTTGCAGTGAAACTTCAAATTTTCATTTGAATGTGCTTCACTGGAGGCAGTGGCGGTTCTAGACCAAATGTACCATGGGGCCAGGAGGGGGCCCTGGGTGTT